CCATGCACAGCCCACTCCGGGTCCATGTGATGGGGAGGGGTCACACTGGTACCATCCCCCCCAGCGCACCGCAGGTGTTAGACGGGCGCTGGGGTGCTATGCCCGCCCCACCCCCTCCCCTATCCCGGGGTCCCCCCCCCGTAGGACTGCGTGGTGTCTTTTTAGAGCATTAGCGACAATTCCTTTGTAACGTGTACAGTAGATTATTTATTTTGTTATTTTGGAATAAAACTTTATTTTACGGCTTATAGTCCTGCCCCACCCCCGCTTCCCCCCCTCCCCCATCTCCCCCCCACTCCTTACGCTGCTCTGGGCTGGGGGGGGACAGCTAACAGACCCCAAAGCAAGCGCCGGCCTTGGGTGTGTGGGGCTTTGTGGCTCTATGGCGGGGTGGGGGGTTCTGTTGCCCTCCTGCCCCCCCCCCCTCAGGAGGAGGGGGCTGAGCACTGTGCTGGCACGGCCCCCCCGCCTCAAGAATGAGTCATCACAGCCCCCGCAGAGGCTGAGCCCGGCAGAGTGGGTTGGGGTGGTGATGTGGGTGGGGGTCATTGTGCGAGACTATGGGAACCCCCCCCTGCCTGCCCCCCAACCCCCCCAGCACCTGGGGCTGTGGTTCTGTGCTTCAAAGTGCAGCGCGTGCACGGGAGGGGGGGGACAGAGTGGTACCCAAATGCTGTCGCCCCCCCCCCGACTCCTCCCTCCCCTGCGCAATTTGTGCCAAGTCCATGCAACTCAATGGGGCGGTGTGTGTGTGTGTGGGGGGGGGGCACAGCGCGATGCCCCCCCTTTCCCACCCCTCACACGTGCCCCGGGCGGACGCTGTCATCCCAACGGGATTCCCCCAACCCCCAGTAGGATGCAGTGGGGTTGGGGTATGCACTGCGTTGCGGGGAGGGCGTGAAGGGGGGGCACAACGTGGGGTCCTCCAGAGACATTTCCTGCAGGAACTGATCAAACTCAGAGGCAGGGGGCAGCTCTGTGCTGGGCGGCAGCCTGAAGGGGGGGGGTGATGGGCAAGGGGTTACTGGAGGAGACCCCTCCCCCGCATTGTGCTCCCCCCTCCCCCCCCCCAAGCACTTACCACCTCGGAGAACTCTGCAGTGCTGTATTGATGGCTTCGAAAGGACCGAGCTCTGGCATCTCCTCATCTCGGGGTTCGGGGGAGGGACCCCCGGGTATCAGCTGGTGGGGACCCTCCACCCGGGGGGGACCCTCCCCAGGCAGAAACTGGTTGGGTAAAAAGCTCCTGGGGGGACAAAAAGGGGGAGAGGGGCTGGGGGAGGGGGGGGCATGGGACATCTCCCTCCCAGCCCCGTGCTACAGGAATTGATTCAAGGCTGGAGGGGTATCTCCCTGTGGGGAGCACTGGGGTGGGGGTGGCAGGGTGGGTGCCCTCCCCCAATTCTTACATGGGGTTCCGGAAAGGGTCCTGGCATCGGGGCATGGCAGGGTCCATCACCAGAGGGGGTGAGGAGAGCATTGGCCCTGGGCTGTGGAGGAAGCAGTGTGTGATGAGGTGGGGGGTGTTCCCACCCTCCTCCCCCACCCCACCGGCACTGCTCTTACCTGGGGAAGGAGGAGCGGAGGCCGTCGGTGACCATTGTGCTGATGTTGCTCTCAGCTGGGGGGTAACTGCCCATGGGCTGGGGACAGAATGGGGCGGGGGGGCTGCAAGGGCACATGGGAGGGGGCGGTTGGGGTCAGCAGGAGGGGGTTTTCTGCAGCTCCCCCCACTGCGGAGCACTCACCAGATGGGGCTCAGCAGATTCTCAGGCTGCAGCTCGGGCTGTAGCATGGGGAGGGTGAACAGGGGGGGCTGGGCAGCCTCGGGACCCCCCCCTGCAGCGCTCTGGGGTGGTTGGTCCCTGCAGAATCGCAGATGGAGATGACCATGGGGGGGGAAGAGATTCTCTCAGAGCCACCCAGGCTGTTTTTTCACCCACCCTCATGCCACGGCTGCCACCCCCCCCTTCCCTGCACCCACCTCTCGCTTTCCACTGTCATTTTGATGGCGGTGGAGACGTAGCCCCGTCCATCCTTCCCTGTCTGCTCCTCTGTGGGAAAGGAGAGCACCCTGAGTGCTGCCAGCGTGGTGCCCACACCCCGTGGGACCCCCCCCATGGCTCACTGTTGTAGTGGCATCCAAACGCCTGATCCTTGGGGGTGTTGGGGTAGAGGTTGCGCAGCTGCCTCAGATCACGGATGCGGTCCCCCAGGGAGCGGATGGAAAGGTCCTTAGCAGAGAAAGGCTGAATGTTCTCCACCTGGCTGGAACCTACAGGGGGGCATGGGACACAAAACTGCATCTCTGCCCCACATCCAACGTGGGGCAGCCCATCCCAGCTCACCGTCCTTCCCACGGATGACGTGAGCGATGGTGACCCCCCCGATCTCGGAATCGCTGAAGCGCAGCAGGAAGGTTCCGTCGGGCTCCGTGCTCAGCAGCTTGCACACGTATTGCTTGCTGATGAAGCCAATGATCAGCCTATAGGGACAGACCGATGGCATTGAGGGATGGACGGATGGACACCTGCCCCCTCCCACCCACCCTCCCATGCTCCATCCCAGCACCTACCGATCTGACCAGTAGCTCTTGAGGCACCGCTTGGTGAGGTCCAGGACTCCATCAAACCACTGCCAGAAGGTGAAGCCCCGTCCAGGTAGGATCTCCTGGGGCACAGGAGGGCTGTGAGGGTCCCAGGGCCACACTGACCCCCCTCTCTCCCCACCCACAGCACAGCCCCCCAACCCGGACCTTATTGAACTGTGCCCAGGAGACGCTGCGGCTCTGGAAGTCCTCTGGAGTGGCACTGTGGTCGTTGAAGATTTTCTGGGCCAGGAAGAAGTAATGCTCCTTCAGGAGCCCTTTGGTGGTCTGCACCTCTGCCATGAACTTCAGGTTCAGTGTCTCGCACATCTTCTCCCAGGGGACACGCTCGGCCACCACGAAGGGCACCCTCTCCTGGGGGAGGGGGGGTCAATCAGCATCAGTGCATCTCATCCTGCAATGCCCCCCTCCCCCTCCCACTGCCCACCCCTCTGTGCTCACGATCTCAGAGAAGGCATTATCCCACAGCACCGTCGCTTTGGCATTGTTGTCTTGATTCCCGTGGACAATGACCACGATGGGGAGGGACAGGACCTGTTGGGGGGGGCAATGCTCAGCTTCAGCCACATGGCTTGCAGCCCCCCAAACCCCCCTCCTCTAGCACTGCCCACCTGCAGCCTCATGGTGGTCCCACTAGGGCTCAGCCCCACAGTGCAGCTGAACAGAACAGCGCATTTCTCTTCCGTCACCGATTCGGAGCCCTTCCGTTCACAGCGCTTTATCTTCTTCAGCATCTGAGGAGGGGTGCACTGAGCGGTCCAGCAGCCCCCCCAGGACCCCCAAATACCCAAAAGCCCCCAGCGTTGCCCCTCACCACATTCTTGAAGTTGGCACTGCAGGTCCCGCTGCCTGGGTTGGTCTCCAAGGCCACCACGTTGTGCACGATCTCCCCGGTGCTCTCACTGGGCGGAGGGTGAGGAGGTGTTGGGGTGGTGCTGGGGGGGCCACAGCCCCACGCCGGGTGCTCTGCTCACCTCAGGGTGCTGCTGTAAGCACTGTGTGCCAACTCCCGTGCCTGCTTCTCCGTCACCATGTCGGCACGCACCATGCAGGGTTTGGGGGATGCCTGCAGCAGCTGTGGGCCCAGCAGGAAGCGGACGCTTGCCTGGAACTTGGTCTGCGTCTTCAGCACCTGGGGGGGCTGCTTCTCCACCAGGAAGGAGCTGAGGGGGGGCACCAAGCTCTGCTCCAGCCCCCGCCGCCCCCCCGCCCCCCCAGCTCTGTCCCAACCCCCTGCAGCCCATCTCCATGCGTCACCTCCGGACCAGGCTGGACAGAACCTCGTTGAGCCTCTCCAGCAGTTGGGACAGCAGCTCTGCCCCCAGCTCTGCACCCGCCGCCATCACCTGTTGGTGCAGCTGAAAGTGAACCTCCACCAAACCTTCACACCTGCGAGAAATCACCAGGAACGGGCGCCCTGAGCCCCAGAGCCCCTTGGGACAGCAGTGTCTCCACGGGCTGGGGGTCCCGTGGGTCCCCTGATGCCCCCCCCCACCGTTTCTGCAGCGGTGCGAGGTTCTCCTCGAAGAGCGCGCCGTTCCCTGCCAGCTGCTGCTGCCGCTTCCAGATCTGGATGCGCTTCAGCACCTGCTGCCTGGCCGCCTCCAGCTCCTTGGTGACCTCCAGGAGGAGCGTGGGCAGCTCCTGGGGGAGGGGGGGGAGGCACAGCAATGGGGTCCGCATGGCACCGAGCCCACCGAGCCCCACACACCAACCCCACCGCCCCACCTACACTCTCTGGTGCTTTCCCTTCCGATTTCAGCTGTGGGTCCCGCACGTTCGAGGCTGTGGAGGAACAGAGGGTGGACCCATCAGCACCGGAGCGCATCCCTTTGGCCCCAAATCCCACCCCCCGACCCCTCACCTGCAGGGCCATCCCCCATTGCTGCTCCGTGCTCCCGCATTGCCTGCACCTCCCGCACGCGATGCTGCAGCCGCCGCAGCCCCAGACTGAATTTGAGCTCCTCCTGGCGCCGGTGGAAGCTGAGGGGCAGGTGGCGGTCCTGGGGTGGTGGTGTTGGGGAGGGGGGATGGGACACACACGGTGAGTGGGACCCCCCGAGTGGTGCAGGTAGGGGTGGGGGAAGGGGCACGCACCCTCCGCAGCACGGCGGCCTTCTCGCCTTCCAGGATGGCCCTCAGGACGGTCACCAAGCGCATCGGGTCGTGCCGGTATGCGCCCTGCGGGAGAGGGGGGTGAGGGGTGGGATAGGGGCACTGGGAGTATCCCACCCATCTGTGTGCCCC